GGCGTTGCCACCTGTCGCTGCCTACCTCAACTTCGTACATGACTTGGCCAACTCTTCTGACCTCAACATAAGAAGATCAAAGAAAACAGAACAACAAAGTCCCAGACGATTGATTGATATTTTTCAAATGAAATATTGATTGTATGGATCTTAGATTTTACCAAGAGATTCTGTAATTTTGTGTGTTCAAGCATATTTGATTGTTCTCCTCTTATGTTACATTGAGTAATGAACATGATAACCTGTCTTTTTAAATTAAGCAAAGCCAATCAACTAAATTCATCAGATTGACCTCAATTTTCTTTTTTTGCCGTTAAATTCATAAATATAATTAAAAGTTAATTTAATCTATATTTACAGAATAAACTTCTATTACCGAAAATCAAATAAAACAATTTCAATGAAACTGAATGAAGTATAATGATAAGTACATGTGAAATGATGTAAATAGATTTGGGCATAAATAGAATTAAAGTATAGAAGTAAATCATCGCTAATAAGCAGATAGATAGATAGATAGATAGATAGATAGATAGATAGATAGATAGATAGATAGATAGATAGATAGATAGATAGATAGATAGATAGATAGATAGATAGATAGATAGATAGATAGATAGATAGATAGATAGATAGATAGATAGATAGATAGATAGATAGATAGATAGATAGATAGATAGATAGATAGATAGATAGATAGATAGATAGATAGATAGATAGATAGATAGATAGATAGATAGATAGATAGATAGATAGATAGATAGATAGATAGATAGATAGATAGATAGATAGATAGATAGATAGATAGATAGATAGATAGATAGATAGATAGATAGATAGATAGATAGATAGATAGATAGATAGATAGATAGATAGATAGATAGATAGATAGATAGATAGATAGATAGATAGATAGATAGATAGATAGATAGATAGATAGATAGATAGATAGATAGATAGATAGATAGATAGATAGATAGATGTTGATGGTGGCTCAGTTTAGTGAATCGGTTGAAGTCAGGCATACTTCCAGATCAGTGATCTAGAGGTTGAAATTACTAAAATCTCCACAAAATCCCTTATTTTAATGATATGAACTTTTATAGATTAGTTCAATTAGAAGATGGAAACCCTATAGTACTTATTATTTGCCTTATTCTAATTCAATACTCATAACCAGTCAGTATCTATCAATGAGGAACCATAAATCGTCGATCTTGTTCCTTCGGATACACATTTTTCAACTTTAATCAATTATCTAATGAATAATATAAAAATATATCTCGTTTAGGTTGATAATGTAAACATTTCAGTTGAATATCTATTCAAATGGACAAAATATCATTTTGTAATGATTCCAATCTTCCCATTAATGTTAACGACTTAAACTGATCAGTCTCATTTTAGTATACGTGTATTTTGAGTGGAATTTCTCAATATTATCATTAAGCAGTAGGATTTTATGTCAATTTGATAGTGGCTAATATTGGAATTCAAGGCGTTCATTTCATTCTATTCAGGATTCATAATTTAGATGTACCTACATTTCAAAGTTGATGTTCACATTGAAACTTAATCAAGATGGCCTTCTATCCATCCAAAGAATGCGTTATCAACTTAGCTACTAAATCCAGACAACCACTAAATTAAGTAACGAATTTAATATTTTAATGGCATGAATCTTCCCGTTGATATTAAGTGCGGGAATTAATAAGTATCATTTAGGTATATGTGCATTAAGTAGGTTTCATTAATGTTGCCAGTGGATATCACAACTATTTATAGGTCAATAAAAAATCTGTTAGAAGTTTGAGTCCTGACATCAGATTCAACACAGATATAATTACATCAAGCTGACGTGTCCTATATTAAACGAAACACGCTTCATGGATCCCATTCCTTGCCAGAATCCAAGTTTACTTACAAAAAAATTAATATTCAAACATTTGTTGCCATAATTTCTTAAATGAAAGGAAGAATAACTAAAAATCCCACTATAAGTTCCATAAACAATCAACTACTTATTTTTACATTATTCCGAAATCTCAGCACGGATACAGAAGGCTCGATTAGCTCTTGCCAACTTTCGTCATTTATGGCGTAGGCGAGATATCCATCTATCAACCAAAGGAAGGGTTTAATGCACAGCAGTTCATTCTGTCCTGCTTCATGGAAGTGAATCATGGCCGGTAAGAGTAGAGGATATTCGTAGGTTACTAGTATTCGATCATAGGAGTCTTCGAAACATTGCTCGTATATCATGGGACCACTGAGTAAGTAATGCAGTTGTTAAGAAATGGGTACTAGGTAAGGATGGCAAATGAATTGATGAAGTAGTGAAACTACATCAGTTGAGATGGCTGGGACATGTGTTACATATGCACAACCACCAACTGCCTCGACGTGCGATGTTTTGTTGTGTAGAAGTAGGTTGAAAGAGAGCTAGGGGCGACCAGACCATGGAACAAGTCCATGAAGTCACTGACAAGTGGACTGAGTTATATTGGTAGGTGTAGACTACCTGGTTGGGGACCGCGAGATGATAGCAACCGATGGTTAGAGACCCTGAATGACATGGCTCAAAATCGTTTGCAATGGCGCAGGTGCATTCACTCTCTGTGTTCTCCCAAATTCTAATCTTCTGAATTCTTCATGTCCCTTTCTTTTTTCTCTTTCCAAATTTATTTCACTGGATTATACTCTTTGAATAACATCTTCAAACCCTAATCTATCCGATTACTGCTTATACTTTGACTACTACCACTACGGGATTTGAATCGACAATCGTATCCGTGTACTAATATGGTGTGGCAACTCGAACTGATGTACGCATGTACGAAGTTCTATGTTGTTAACTGACTAACTGACTGACATCGTTCCTATCGTAATAGTTAAAGTCTTTTTTCTTGGTTGCTTATTCCTTTAAGTTTGTTAAAACGTACTTACTATTTGTTTGAACTAATAGAAAAAATACAACACTGTATAGTTTGTAAATTCACAAACACATATGTGCAACTACACAGATTTTCATTATTTTTTATTTATTTAAACACATAAATATTGGTACAATTAGGCGCCAAATAGATATGCGCCACATAGATCATTCGACTTTTGTGAGAACTGGGATACAGCCCGGGTGCCCAAACCAAACCAGGTAGTTTTCTTAGGAGGTCACACTTGAAGCCTTCCACATAAAGGTCTAATCCACAAGGCAGTAGTGAAGCAACATAAGGAGATGCACTTCTTTGATTGCTGATGACCAACAATAAGTTCGTATACCATTTGTTTCCAACAGGATCCTAGAGCCTATGTGCATCATTAGTTTGGAATGAGGGTTTTCTAACTCCCCTAGATGAACTTTTCGTACCCACTAAGATCTTCATATAAAACTATAACGGCATTTGAAACAATCCCTTACTATGTACTAAACTATCTACACTATATTGAATTAGTTAGTAATATCATATTAAAATATCTTTCCATATAATAAATGAAAAATCAATAACCTTTTAATATTCAAACTGTTGACATTGTTGAACTTTTTTTAAAAGAAAAACTTTACCGCCATCATCTATCCATCAGATAATTTACCATGGTAACACTTAAATTATTATTTTATATTAACCAATAGGAATGAAGTTAATATTAGTTACCTACACACAAATAAATAGATCCAATAATTCTGACCAATCAAATTGAAGTTCTTTAAGGTTCATTAGTATATATATATATATATATATATATATATACATGTTGTCAAATTTGTTTCGAATATAATAATGAACCATTTTATCGCATAATGATAGACTACTCTATACATTCTGTTTACTATTTTTTTAATGTATGTACAATATTCTGTAAACTAAAGGTAACAGTAGTCACATTTTGTGACACGGGATAGAATTCATCAGTCCCCAATAAGATTACAGGTACACCTTTCTGACAAGTGACAAGAAGAACGAAACCTAAGTTTAGGGTTTCCTGTTGACTACCTTTAACCAACATCTTATCTCAAGAAGTTTTGATTGTATGATAATACTATAACATGTGATATATGTCTAGTCTTTGGTGTTCTATAAAATATAATCGAGCAATTTGAAATAAAGTCAATAGATTAAATGTGTTTTTGATGTGCTTTTTTGTTAGGTGAAGGCTACGTCTCGTCCTAGTTCACATTTGTACACAAGGTGTACTTATTGTTTTGATTGATAAGATTAAAATCCATATCACTAAGTATTTCAGTAGGATACGTTACCAGTGTTTCACTCGGATTAAAAATGACTGATTTATTATAAGACTGAAATGTTAAACTAACTGTAGTTAAATCAATTAGATTGATTATAGCACTCTAACTAGGTCGATAAGATTCGTTTAGAACTGCTTCCTACTAACTATCTGATTAGTTCTAATGTTTGAATTATTTTGCAGGATAATCATTTTCTGAACAACATGGTAAACAGATTCTGTCCATATTGACAACAACGACGTAAATTGTGATGATTTCGCGCAATTTCAAAAAGTTTAATATACATCATTTTAAAACTATTCAAAGTAATACTTGTGTCTCATCTCTTGTCCACAATTGTTCTAAATATCCTTGGAACTCCTCAAAGATAAGGGTTTTGTAGCTCCCTCGTTCTTATTTTATGCTTTTGTAGAATCGTATTTTCTGAATACAATTTACCATCAAGCACCCACACAAAAAGATGAAATAAATTTTTATGTTACCATGTTTGAATTCCCCACACTTATCATACTAATAAAGAACATAGTGAAGAACAACATTTAAAAATCTCCATCCTTTTTATTTGGTTTAAAAATTACTTATCCGATTGATTCACTATGATTCTTGATTTGTATTTCCTACCTATGAAAGTCATGCAAATCAAATAATTATTAATCGTTAGGATCTCGATAATTGTCTTGTATAATGATGGTATAGTCGAAAGTTTAATCATTATAAGCTTTAAATTGTCTGCCAGTCTGAAAATATTATCAGCTTAACTGTTTGGACTAAACGAGGGAGACGGCGATGACAATGCCGATGATGATAATGATGATGATGATGATGATGCTTCGGATGATGATGATGATGTTGATGATGATGATGATGATGATGGTGATGATGATGATGATGATGATGCTTCGGGTGATGATGATGATGATGCTTCGGGTGATGATGATGATGATGATGATGACGACGATGATGATGATGATGATAGGAGTACAAATAATATGCTGAGGTGTAGCATTTCTATAAACACTTTATAATTATCAGAATGTGTTTTGTGGAGATTTTTAGAAATTTTCACAGATTGAACTCATGAGTCAGTTGAAGCTAGACCACCATTGAAAACCTGGAAGCACTGGATGGCCGTTTCGTCCTGGTATGGGACTCCTTTATAATTAACAATCTTTAAAAGTTCATTTTGTATGCTTATTAAACAATTCAATCAACCAATAAATTAATGAATACTCTAAAGTATAAGGAGAAGTGGCAATCATATTACATTTCAAAATGTCACAAATTACAAAATGTCCCGTTCTAATAAAAGAAGTAAAAAGTTAAAGCTTTTCTAAACAATCCTATTATGTCATATAAGGTCATTTCCATTAGAATACATCATTGAACATTGTTTTATTCATTGACAATGTTGAACAATATAACAATAACATTACTTGATAACTAAAAAAAAACGAAACACTACACACCAACAATGGATCATCAATGACACTAATAACCTACTACTTCTTGAATTCATTGAACTAATTGTTTCTAAATTCACCTAAATTCTACTAAACATATAGACATGAATACATTTACAGACACATACAAACAAAAGCTGTCAAGTATAACCTTTAACATGAATGAAAAATGAGTTACGTAACATATATATATATATATATATATATATATATAAGTGGGGGGGGGTTGTTGCTAGTTAGAACGATGGTAAATTCTTTTGTAAAAACACTATGAAATCAACTAATAACAAATATCAGTTTAGGGGTTGTGGAGATTGTTGAGTTGTTTTCTTTGAGATCATGAACCGACTGTTGTTAGACCACCATTGAAAACCTGGAAGCACTGAACGGCCATTGTATGCCGGCTCAGTGGTCCAGTAGGTTACACGTTCGCGCGAGACTGAAGGCCCTGGGTGCAAATTCTGCTAGCGGGATCGTGGATGCACACTGCTGCAGAGTCTCACAATAGGACGAAACAGCCGTCCAGTGCTTCCAGATTTTCAATGGTGGTCTAACATCAGTCGGTTGATGATCTCAATAAAAAATAATAATAACAAGTATTTATTCATATTATATTAAACAATGACTATAATAAAGTATAAATAAAGAAAACTTATTCAATACGAAATTGTAACCAAAATAGGATACTTAGCAACGATTATTGAATCAAATCGACAACATAAGTAATTATAATAACATATACAAAGAAGCTTTCAACTAATAATTGATTTCAATATTGTACAATCGCGCTGTATGAAATACAACTAATCAATACATGTATCATTTTCAATTTGTTTTAATTCGAGTTCATGAATCGATCAATGTTAGACCATCATTGAAAGCCTGGAAGCACTGGATGGCTGTTTCATCCTAGTATGTGACTCTTTAGCAGTGCGTACCTACGACCCCACAAACAGGATTCGATTTTGGAGTTAGACATTGACATAGTTGGATAGAAGCTAAGCGTTGGTGAACCAGACAACAGGTTTGGGTTTCGAGTCCCGTGCTTAGCATCGTGAATGCCCACTGTTGAGGTGTTCAATATTAGGACGAAACAGCTATCCAGTACTTCTAGGTTTTCAATGGTGCTCTGAAGTTGGTTTATTCATGATCTTGATCAAAATTCAACAATCTCCACAGCGATACACTGATTGTTTTAAATCATTAGGAGTCCATGTGTAATATGTATAAATTTCTCAGTTATATATTAACTATAGAAATATATTTATTCATTCACTGTTGAACATAGATTTTATTCCTATCTGTTTCAATTTACTAAATTAACAAGTAAAGATGGGTGGAGACTAACAGTGGAATCCAGAATGCATATTTCGTCCTATTTGAGACTCGAAGACTCGAACCCAGTGCCGTTCGTTTCAAATTCCACCAAAATATCAACCTAGCTACTAAGTCCAGATAACCACTTGCTTGTGCAATCAGGTGAAGTTTAAATCCACTTGGTGTTGTTTTACTAGAATCTTCCCATTGATGTTTAGAACCACAATTGACGAAACACATGTCCTAAATTCCACTGCTAACCATTATCCATCTTTACCTAGAATGCTTGTGAATTAAGGCAATATCGAGACAATCCGCACAGGATGCACATATGCCATTAAAAGACCGATACTAAACATCAATGTGAAAATTCTTGGGATTCGAAACCAGGGCCTTCAATCTCACAGATGAACTCTTAACCTACTGGACCACTTACCCGGCATCTATTGGTGTTAGTGTCTAACATCAACCAGTCGGTGACAATTCTTCTCCCTTCTTCAAATGATAAATTTTCATGTATTTTTCTACAAAAGTTTGTTTTACGTTGTTTTTCTTTTGGTTAAAAAATGCGACAAAACTCTAAGATACCAATTTAATTATTTAACTAAACATGAATCTAAAAATTACCAGGTTGGTGTTTATTTTATTTTTTTTTGTCGCTCTGAGTAAACAATAAAACCATTTTATTATTTTTTTATGAAAATAAAACTGAAAACAATTAAGGATTTTAAAAAAAAGAGAAGAAAAGAAAAAGAAAAAAAAGAAGAGGGTTAGGAATAAACTATCCCTATTTGTCCGTAGGTGTATATGTATATACGTGTGTGTGTGTGTGCGTGAGTGTGCGTGTGCGTGTGCGTGTGTATGCACGTGTGTTTCTATAATGGTAACATGTGTATCTTAGATCCTATATTAGAATAAATGATAAGGAATTGCATGTTTTCATCATTTCTAGTTCAATCCCGTTCTTCTTTCTTTTTTTGTTTGAAAAATTTATCCCATATCAAAACAACACCACCATCACCACCACCGCCAACAACAACAACAACAACAGCAACAAAATCATTTAAGCGATTATATGTATTAATGAATGAATGAATGGAAAATTGATTAATCGGTGAAAAAAATGTTTTTCAATCAGAGAATTTTCACTGATTTCACAAACTGATATCAAGTTTAAATGGAGTGCAAAGAATAGAAGGGGGAAAAAAAGGAGAAAGGATTCATATAATTAAAGTCTTTTAATGATTTTCAAACAGATGATATATAATTTCATATTGAATGATACTATAAATAGTATATTACTATCAGAAGAGGTTTTTGTGTGGAGATGATAGTAATTATAATAGTTGAAATCATGAGTCAATTAAAGCTAGATCATCATGGAAAACCTGAAAGAATTAGATAGCCGTTTGGTCATAGAATGGGACTACTCAACAATGTTCACTCATGATCACGACTCGAGGGATTTGAACTCAGGATTTATCGATTTCTCGATCGAACGCTTAAAGTCTAAACCAATAAGCCGGCATCTAACGGTGTTAATGTTTAACATCAATTAATTCGCAAAATTGAGTGACACATTCACAATTATCTTCAATGAGTTACTATCTTACAACAAACACGGTTGAACTCCACTGGTCACTGCTTCTCACTATAACTCCAGGAAATACCTATTGAAACCAGTCACTAATGAGCATATATTCATTGGTACCAAAAGGTGTTTCATGGATATTATAGTAGTTTTATAGTTAAAATCATAAGTCAATTGAAGCTAAACCCGCATGGAAAACCTGTAAGAACTGGGACTCCTCTGCAGTGAGTATCTATGATCCTGCCCCGCGAGATTCGAATCCAGGATCGTCCAGTACTTCCAGGTTTTCCATGGTGGTCTAACTTCAATTAACTCATGATCTCAACTACCAATATTGGTATATTAATTGTTTGATTTGTTTTATTCTTGTGACTTTGTAAAGGTATAAAATTTAAATATTCAAGTTTTGTTGATCAATACATTGTGTGTTCGATTTTCAAAGGATCCAATGAACATTGATGGATTATTTGAAGAAGTAAAGTGACTTAAGCGTTATGCTTAAATAACTCACTAAAAATAGAACGATTTTGAAAATTTTCATGGACTAAAAAGTTCAAAAGTTGTTTCAAGAAAGAAACAGTAAACATTAGGCTTCAAGAGAAGAATTACGTACAACAATACGAAGGTATGCTCTATCCAATCAATGTGGAAACCAATACCATTAACATTTGCTCTGAAGCATTTCGAGTTTATTTATTTTATACTCTTTCATAATATTCATGAAATGTTGAACATTTTCCACAAAGAGAAACAGTTGTGAAAATGTTCATTACTTGAGCGTAACGAACTGCTGATTCATCATAGTTTAAGATATCTCCTGTCTTACGAAGTCCCTATATAGAATAGAACTTTTATTGTTCCAGTCTTGTAACGTTCATCATATCTTTAAATCATAATGAACAAATAAAACTGGCGAAATTCTAATTTATGGATGAACCAATTAGATCTAAGATAACAGGTCTAGTGTTTTGGCATGAAATTCATTCATTCATTTGGCTTAATATAGTTTTGACATTATACCTGATATCAGTTCGTGATGTAAACCCTAAAATCGAATTCTTAACCCTAATCATCAACTGTAAATCCTAATTCGAATTCATCACACAGGTTTATAAACTTCATTTGATCCTAGTTCTTAGATGAACACCTTCACAGTCACTTTAGCGTCGATCAAAGGTCGTTCATCAATTATAGATCTTATCAGAAAAACAAACTTTTTTATTTTAACAAACTAAAACATTTAATTAACTACAATTCATTCTTTGATCTAACCTTTTCATAAATTTAATCAAAAACTGTCATTCAATTGTTTGTATTATGTTAGTTAATGAATAAAAGTTTGATTGTTATGATGAATTAAAATTTCCATTAAAAATCAGTAAATCAAAGAATAATGAGTAGTATCATAAATGTATAGTTTTTATTATTTAATTGATTTTAAGTTAGTTAGTTAGTTAGTTATGAAAAAACTGGAGAATATTGGAGCACATATGTGGATTGGTTCAGGTTGCCCAACCGTTGTTGCTACCTTGACGTGGTGGTCGAGCTTGTCTATCGTGATGAAGCAACTGAGCTATACTGGCTGGAACAATCGTACCTCGAGATCTTATCATGCCAGTCAGGCAGGTCGATTGAAGA